ACTGCTGGTGGGAGTGCAGACTGGTGCAACCACTGTGGAAATCAGTATGGAGATACCTCAAAGAACTAGGGCTAGAGCTCCCATTTGACCCAGCTATTCCCCTGCTGGGGATCTTCCCCAAAGAATTAAAAGAATCCTACCACAGTGATATATGTGCACCCATGTTTATAGTGGCACAGTTTGTAATAGCCAAAGCTTGGAAGCAGCCCAAGTGCCCAACAACTGGAGACTGGATAAAGAAGATGTGGGTTTTTTTTAAAAAATGGAGTACTACTCAGCCAAAAGAATGAAAAACTAGAGTCATTTATAGCTAAATGGATGCATATTGAGGCCATACTCTTAAGTGAAATAAATAGGATACACATGTGTAAATGCCAAATAGTTTCTCTAGTGTGAGAAACTGAAAGTGCAAATAAGGATTAAAATGATTAAAATGAATAATGGATAATTTGAAATATGAAGAAAAGGTTCAAAGGGGTAGGGTTGGCAGGAGGGGAAGGGGAGAGACCAGAGTTACAGGTTGGAATCTGGAAAGAATCCGTACATAGATTGTGTTTAAAACTCTAGGAAGAGATGTAGATAGAGACTAGGCTGGAGCTCATCAGTGGGTTGGGAAGGAAGAGTCACTGAGATCAAAGGAGAGAAGGGTGTGTTTCCAGAAGAAGCACATACAACTATGTACAGTACACAGTCCTTGATAGTGTGATAAATGACTGTTACTGCTTTAGGTACTTATCATAACATGCTGTGCTTTTCATCCTTTAGAGCATAATCCTACTTGTATAAAAGAGTTTACTGTAAAACAGTGTGCTGCTATGCCAGTGGTAGCCTCGTGTTTAACTGCATATTCAGATAATATCAAGGGGCCATCACAGATGACTGACATATACCTTTTCAGTTTGCACTTAGAAGATGGCACTCTGTGTGGTACTTTGTGATACACACGGATGAAATTGCCTAATAACATATTTCTCAGATTATATTTCCATCATGTGTCACATGACTGTATTGAAATTTAAATTTTAAAAAATTGGGCCTATGTGGAGTCTAATAGTTAATTAGAATTTTTTCTCTAGATCACTATTTGTTCAATATTAGTTTTGAAAATCTTTCTAAAACAAATCACATCTTCTGATGTCTTGTTAATGCTTTAGATGTTTTTAAAAATTATATGGAAAAATGTTTAAGTACTTTTCAGTTTTGCTTTCATTGAGTTCTATTATATTTGAATATTATTATAGTTTTTTTCCCCTTGCATTGCTTTTCTTTGAATAATTTTAATTTTTGTATATGTGTGTGTTTAGTGAATGATAATAAAGTTATACATTAAAAAAAAAAAAAGCCAAACAAGCAGATGGCAAAGGAACTCATACCGCGTGTTACCCTTTAAATATCATCCAAAATCAATACCATGCACTATGACGTCAAGCATATTGGGAATAGTTTATTTCTGAAGCTGAATAGAGCATATGCACATGCTCATTATATTATCCTTCATATCTTTACCACCTAAAATCTCTCCTGAGTAATTGCTTTAAACAGCATCACCCAGACGGGAGGTGGCAGGCACGTGCAGGGCTGATGATTAAACCCCCAGCGCCGAGGGTGATGTGATTTTTCTGGTGCGAGGCCGGGCCCAGCCCGGCAGTTGTGCTGCCCCTTTCCCCTGCTGGAGTGGTGTAGTGCTGATCCTGCCCCTGTCACCGCCCAGCCAGGTCCTACGGTCAGGCCCGTTTGTACCAAAATGAGAGGCTGTTGATCCACTGGTTTTGGTTTTGAGGCAGAGGCTACTCAAAGCCCGGCTCCAAGGAGATGGAGGCGCCTCCTCTGTGTCAGGTCCCAGGCACAGGGCGAGAGGGGACACAGCAGCACCCCTCTCCCTGTCCAGTAGCAAGGTGACTACCGGACCTCCCAGGCAGCATCGCTGTTGCACCTGGCTGAGGAGAGGTGGGGCAGGGCTCTGTGCCTGGGCCTGAGAAACTCTGCAGAAGCCATTTGTCTCTAAAGAAAAGAATTAACTTTCCCAGCTCCATTTGGCTGTGTCAGTTAAATTTACAACATAACTCCTACTTAGATTACTGCAAAATGATGCAATCGTATACATAGGTTACCAGAACTTTCCCAAGCTAAACAGCTTATGTACACATGAGCACTGCGTATTTAGCCTGGAAAAAATTCAACATATGTGGTGGGAAAAGTCTTAGATCTTTTTTCTGAACCTTGCAGGGCTTTCCTGTAAAAACAAAATGAGCTTTTTTAAAAAACTACATTTTAAAATACCTAATTTAAGCAAGGAGTACATAAAAAATAATAGCTTATTACAGAGAAGCAAGCAACCCTTTCAGCTTCTCTTAAAACTGTTAGCATTGCCAGGGATTGAGCTCAGTGGTTTCACTGCCTGATGTGCAAGCACAAGGACCCGAGTTCGATCCCCGGTACCAAAAAAAAAAAACCAAACAAAACTGTTAGCATTAAGCTGGTCATGGTGATGCATGCTTGTAATCACAGCCCTGGGGAGGCTGAGGCAGGAGGATGCTTGTGAGTCCAAGGCCACCCAGGGCTACACAGTGAGACCCTGTCTCAAAACCAAAACAAAAAACTGCTAGCATTAGTCTACATAAACAAACCCACTAACAGACTAGGTAAGTTATAGCTATTAACTCTACTCATTTAAATGAGTTCTCCTTGTACAAATTACCAACTTTAGGATATCTCAACGTTATGACCAAATATAAGCCTGAATCCCTTTAGGACTCATCACTTAAAGCTCATTTTTAAATTTGTTGACCTATACTTTGACAAACGTCTTCATTTCTATTTCTGTTCCTTTAGTATAGTTACTCTTGAATTTCTTAAAGGATCAGACACCCTTTGATCTTATTCCACACAGTACTATACATATATATATATCAACAATCTGTGAGATTCATTTAATGGACTTGAGTGTGTCATCATTTACAGATTTTAAGAAACCCAGGATACTTGAATGTATACTATACAAATGTGTTTAGTATTTGAATTTAATTATAAACATCTCAAACATTTTACTTACATACCCAATTATATTTTTAACAGTTATGTCTAAGTTGCCCACAAAACATTGGACAAGCACAACTCAATATCTCAAGGCATTTCTTTGCTGAGGAAATAAAATCTCTCAAGAGTTGTTATAGTTCAGGTCCCATACTATGCCAAAATATAATCTTGATTGGCTAATTTAGGCAGAGTGCATGCTTGACGACACCTGTATCTTTCAAACGTTTGCTTAAGTCCTGTGAACTAAAAGGCATTTGGTTTGTTTTCTTAGTGAACAGTCTTGTTTTTAAATTAATGAGTACCGTGTAAATACTTTACAGACGCAAGTACATAGCATATAATACATCCACACAGTCACACAGAAAACACAGGCTTCGATTTGTCATTATATTGGCACGATTTGTTTTACTGTGCTAAGCAATATTTAATCCTAAATTTGCATGTCTAAAGATAGGATTTCTGGTTGTAGAAAGGAGAGATTTACATCTCCTGTCCGTTTAATCTGACTGAGTTTCCTAAAGTTTTTGTGCCGCAAGTTAAAGTAGGTTTAATCAACTTAAAGCGCCCTTCCACCGGGTTTAAGACATTTCCTGTGTGTTAGATTTTAGACACTTTCTGTCCTGGGTCTGTTGCCCAAGGCCTCTGTCGTGGACACGGAAACCGGGTTGGGAAAGTGCTTCCCACCGAGCGCAGCACAGAGGCGAGCTCCCTGCCGTCAGGTTTGTCCACTGTCCCAGCTGAGGAACCGAGATGCAGGAGGAGGAGGAGAAGCCAGCTGCAGGCCCCCTCGAAGCTCCGACAAGCACTGTGACGTACACCAATTTAGGGTGCACCAGAGATGGTCGGAGAGTGAAGGGAACAAAGCGTACTTTGTCTTACAGGCCGTGTGGCATCCCAGTAAAACCCCTCTTTCCCAGTCAGAGGTAAGCACAAGTTCTGTGCGGAGCTGCAAGGTGGCGCTGGCATTCTCCGTTCCTGAGCAAGTCTCAGCAGAGGGCTCCAGCACACCTGTGCCTCCAGCCTCCGAGCTTTTTAATCCGAACTTGTCAGACAGTTTAAGAACCTCGAGCTCCCCAAGTGGCTCACAGAGAGGCCCCGGAATGGCCCAGAAGAACCTCAAGAACCAGGGGAGGAAGGAGCACGCCGGCCTCTGCCTGCGGGAGCGCAGCCTCTGGCCGGCCGGGCACAGCAGAACGGGCACCGCCTGCCCACGGGAAGCCCCCGTCAGGTCTCCGAGGGCCGGCGTCTCTGGCCCTGCATTCCGTTCGCAGGGTTTCTGGATGCTTTGGAAACCTTATTGCTCAACCCAGATACCACAGATGGTTATCAGAAGAGAAAGATAAGAGAAACCAAGCCAGGCCAACTCAAGGGAGAACTGTGAGCAGGGGAAACGCCTGGGCTGTCTCTGCGCTCCGGGCCCTCTCCGGGCAGCCGGCACCCCGAGCTTTCCTCTCCCCAGGTTCGGTTCCCCTGGCCCGGGCAGCTGGACTCGCCGGGGAGCAGGCAGAGCCTGTCAGTCCCGAGGCGTTCTCCTCTTAGCAGCCGGGTGTTTGAAGGAGGGAGAGGTCCCGGTGCAGAGCGCCCCCTGGAGCCCAGGCCGAGCAGCAGCCCTTGCAGAGGGCCTTCCCAGCCGGCCCTCCGCGCTTGCCTTCCGGCCCACGCACCGAACCTCTCCTGCCGCTTGGCTCGCGTGCTCACCCCTCACTGGAACAGAGCGGGCCGCTTATTTTGGTGAGAAGGAAAATGCTTCCCTCAGAGCCGGCTCTGAGGAGGTGGAGGCCCCCGCTGACTGGCCCCTGCCCTGCACGGCTGTGTCAGGGTCTTCACGGCCAGGAACGGCCAGGGAGGAAGTAGAGGGGCGCGAGACCGGACGGGCAGACTTCGCCGCTCCCGCCGCCCGCCTGTGCCCGGAAAGCCTTGGCCCAGGGGCCTGCCGCTGCCCATCCCGCCCCTGCGCCCGGCCGGAGAGGGGCCGAAGAAAAGTGGCTGTCTCCGAAAGAAAAAGAATCGAGCGCTTGGAGCTCCTTGGGCCCCGGCAGTTATGCGTTTCCCTCGTATTCTCCGCAGCCCGAGTCCTTCGCAGCACAGCTCGCCTGGGAGTCGCTGCGGCTCATCGGAGTTGGCGGTGGCGGAGACTTGTGTTTGCTGTTTCCATTCGGAACGTGCATTGACTTTCCAATTTCAGTATGTTAACCAGCCTGACGATTTTAGGCTTTCATCTCAGAAAATGGAAATTTTCTAAAGGTGGTTTTTTATGGCCTAAAGGAAAAACTAAGGAGATCAAAAGTTAAGCCAGTATTTGTCACTAAGTCTGTCAGTGCTGGGGTCTCCTAAGTCGTTTGTCGGTCTGTCTCTTCCTTTCCTAATGAGCATTTCCCTATGACGCGTTGCGCGCTGGGCGGGGTAGCAGGAGATTCTTAGGTTCAGGTAAACTCAGATTCACAAGACTTTCTTTTCTGGTTGCAAGTTCTTGCACTTGCTAGCCAAGTGCTCTGTCACTGAGCTGCGCTCCAACTCCGTATGACTGTCATGGGCCACGGACATAGCTCACAAGACAGTGATGTCAGGCTCCCCCTTTGTAGTCCAGGCCTGCAGTCAGGCCAGCAGGGCAGCTGGGCACCAGGAAATGAGGCAGGGAGGTCCTGATGTAGAAGCTTCACGGTCCAAAGAAAACTGTGCCTGTAGTAAAAACCCCATGAACAGTTTCCAAAGCCCCACAAGAAATTACCCCTGCAGCCACCACACCCGAAACATTACACCAGGAATTTCCAGTTCTCCCAGCCCAGGGCTGCTGTCACTTACAGGCAGTAACGAGTGGTGATGCCATTCGCACACCACCTTATCAGGCTGCCAGGGGAAGTTAGGTACGGGTCAGAGCCTCAGCAGGAGAAGAAAGATCTGAAGCCTTTGTACACAGGAGCCCTTTCTACCTAGTTGGATGTTTTCCGTTAATCAAATATTTCTTGGGAATCTGCTCAATGCAAAGTGCTGTGGAGAAACACAAAAACCGGTCTGAAGTGTTTTGAAACTGGTGGGTAAGATGGACAGGTGACAGTGAGCTTCAGTAAAGGGACGTGATGGAACATACCCAGGGGGACGCTCCCAGAGTTGCCCTAAGAGCACCATATTGCTGATGCTGCCTCCTCCTGTGTAAAAATTGGTGATACAGTAACACACTCTATTTGAGCTCTTGGCCTTACTTTAACATAGATCATCATCTACTTTTTGTATCAGATTTAGGCATTTCCTTCATTATACCCAAGGTAGTCATGAAATTACAAAAAAGTATACATTTTAGTTTTAAACTTATAGTTGATGGACATATGTTCTTTGATGCTTCAGTTTATTACCATGGAACAAACTTTCCCTCGAGGAAGCAACAGGAACTAGAATCCATGGCCTTGATTCGAAGAGATTGCAAATCATTCACATCCTTTTATTTTTATAAATATTTTAGAAAACTATGATCCTCTTAATTCTGACAAGGAAAGCTCAAACCACTGGGGGATATATTTGTAGTCTTCACGACACTACATGTTCACACAATTAGTTTAGTCTAAAGCGGCACTTACAGAACTTCCCGTGGAATAATAGAAATCCTAAGTAGCAACGGTAGTCGAGGTTTTAATAAAACAAAATGTAGAAAGATTTTCAAACACATTTGAAATTTACCTTTTCGTTTTAGACGTCTGGAAAATTAGTGTACTGAGCAGCAAAGCCTCTGTTTACCTCCTTGAATTGCTTCAGTAGGTCCATCTTCTCCAGCAAGTTCTTCGGCGTCCTTTCCAGGAGCATTCCAGGGCCGAGAAAGCGGGCTACGCCTCACCTCCTCCTCCTCGGGCCAAAGATCTTAGAGTCGCTGCTCATCTCAATTTGGGAAAAATTAATTCAGGGACTATCACTGGACTCACCAGAGAATAATTCACGTAACAAAGTCGTAATGATTGTCCTCAGTTGGATGATGGTCAGTGACTGTCTGATCATATGTAATGAGTGTATATAAAAATGTTTATATGGAAATTGGGCTTTGTTCTTTGAAACAAGATAATGGAAAAATAAAGCATTTTTGGTTAAACACATGAATGAGTCTCATTGAGAAATTTTATGACAGTTTTTTGATCAACATGGATGTATAAGTATCTAGTACTTACTTAACATTCAGCACTTAAGGTATATAGTTTAGCTGTAGTCCCAGAGTTGTTTTTTTTTTCCTTATGGTCTCTTTTTTCTTTTGAGACAGGGTCTCACTTTGTAGTTTAGGCTGGCCCTGAACTCACTATGCAGCCCAGGCTGGCCTCGAACTCCGGCGATCCTCCTGGCTCAGCCTCCCGAGTGCTGGGATTACAGGTGTGTACCACCACGCCCAGCTTGGTTTTTTCCTTATGGAATTTTTAAACATCTACAGAAGTAGAATAGTTCAATGAACCTCCTTTACCTTTTAACTATCTTACATAAATCATAGTGCAAGAGCAATAGGTCACCCCTAATCTACACTGCCACACGTTCTCTGCATTACTGATTATTGTTTTAACTGAACTATAGTTTTCATATATATCCCTGGGTACTTTTAGAAAAATCCTGACATTGTTTTTATTTCCTGTACAAATATTACTCTAAGCATCTCCAAACATTCATGACTTAAACTCACACAGGCTTGAGTGTGAGTGTGCTCATGTGTTCTTGCAGTGTGTACCAGCTATTTGAGAAGCTGAGGCAAGAGGATCAGTTGTGCCTAGAGTTTTGTGGCCAGCCTGCTCAACCTATGAAATGTTATCTCCTCTTCCCACGGCCCCCCAAAAAGGACAACTCATCAGAACTGTGACAAATTAGCAATGACTGCCTCATGGATTGAATAGCATGGTCTGTTTTCCTTTTTCCTATTATTTTATAAATCATTACCATTATCATCTTATAGTTGTTTATTTTAACTGGGATCCAAATAAGGACTACATGTTAAAATTAAATGATGATATATGTTAAGTTTTTTTGGTACCTTTGGGTATATCACCTGTATGTGCCACTTAGCATCGTTTTTTTCTTTTCTTTCTTTTTGTACCAGGGATAAAACTCGGGATCTTGTGCTTGCGAGGCAGGTGCCAGAACCACTGAGCTAAACCCCCAGCAGCGTCACTTTTTTCTCTTGAAATTTTTTTCTGCTGCTGGGTATCAAACCAGAGCTTTCTGGATACGAGGCAAGGGCTGTACTACTGAGCTACACCCCAAGACCAGTTTCTTTTAATTGAGGAACCCAGTTTGTTTATCCTGTAGCATTTCCCACAGTGTGCATTTCGCTGCTGGCATCCTGTGGTATTGTTTAATATGATTTTTGGTCCTCTATTTCTGTAAATCTAGAGTCTTGATCATTCAGGGGTAATTTATTTGACAAAAATACTTGCCATCAGAAGTCAGGTGTTGTGTATTTCCATCAGGAGGCACATAGTATTTGTCTCTTTTTGTGCTATAATAGCCATTCCAATCACTACCTTGACCCATTGATTCGAAAAGATTATAAAATCATATGATCCTACCATTCATACATTGGCTAGAATCCCTTTATAAAGAAAAAAGAGCACAAAATCTAGAAAAATAGGAAGTACAAAATGAGATGCCACAAACACACGTGATTACAGTTGTTGCCAGTTAAAAGATACTGATTACTGGACTAGATGTAAACACAATAGGTACTTACATGTCATTTGTAAGTGGCACACCTAGAACATAACAAGCAAATTTGAAAGTGAATGCATAGAAGGATTTGTCAGGCAAATAACTGATAAAAGAATGTAGCTATATAAGATAAAAAGCCAGAACATTATATGGTGATGTATGATTCAATTCGCCTGGAAGACATGTACTTAAACCTTCTTAAAATTCACTAAACTATATCAGAGTATATAAGATACAATTTTCCAGAACAATGAAAAGATACTGATCTCCTAGAAGGGGATCTGACATCCTTTTTAGTAATTGATGGACCAAGCAGGATAGACATTAGGCTATAGAAGATGTGAGCCGCATATTTAACAAGCTGGTTCTAAAAAGTGTATATAGCAAGTTCTACACAAGCACACATGGACCATCCATAAAAACTGACCATGTATCCAGCTATAAAAAGTCTCAATAAGCTTCAAAGGCTCAATTACTGAATTTGACAATTCTGGTACCATAGGAGCTCTACTTTCTTTCTTTTTCTTTTTTTTTTTTTTTGGTACCGGGGATCGAACTCGGGTCCTTAGCTTTCGAGACAGGTGGTGGAACCACTGAGCTAAATCCCCAGCCCTAGCTCTACTTTCTATGATCAACTATGGAAAACACACAGCATAGGCTTAAATGTTCATTTCTCCCCTCAAGGGCTTTACTGTAAAATCTTATTTCCGATTCTATCATGTGGCAGTTTTAATCATGCCTCCTTATAAACTCTGCTTGCAGTGAAACATGGGTTTCTGTCCCGATGACATTATACCAGACATTTTCTAGTTTTGTAAGTCATGATATGGGGTTGGTTACTATCTAAACCCCTACAAAAACAGAGCTATGGAAATAAAATTGGAAGGCTTATCAGAAACCACTTATAAAGAGAAGACAGATTCAAGTAACAGGAGCCTAGCGCACATTGGTGTTATGGCTTGTGTTTAGATGTCCCCCCAAAACCTCATGCGAATGAGGTGGGGCTTTTTTGGGGGGGGGGTACTGGGGATTGAACTCGGGACCTTGCACTTGTGAGGCAGGCCTCAGAACCACTGAGCGAAATCCCCAGCCCAAGTGGGGCTTTTTTGGAGGTGGCTGGATCTCGAGTGTGTGATGCTGGAACTGATTCATGGTGCAGTGCTAGGCTCAAGGGCACTAGGATTAAGGGTGTGAGTCAAGCAGTCTGGAGAAGATAGATAAAAGGGCCAGGAAGACACTGTGAAGGCCTCTTGTTGCTTTTGCTGTCTTCCACCCCATGGACTTTTTCCCTCTGCCATGCCACCCTGCCGTGCAGCCAGCTGATTATGGCCTGAAACCTCTATAAACTGTGAGCTAAATAAACCTTTCCTCCTTTAACTGTGGGTGTTGGGTACTTTGTCTCAGCAATGAGAAAAGTAACTGAGACAGAATTAGGTGCTAGAGAAGTGGGGTCGTTGCAGTGGCTGTACCTGGCCATGTGGTTCAGGAGCCTTTGGAACTGGCTTGTGGGAAGAGTTGGAAAGGTTTGGAGATGCCGGCTGAAAAGTAGAGCCGGACCGCCTTAGGCTGTACTTGATGGGAGGGTCTGGTCAGAGTGCACAAGACTAGAAGGCTCATAGAAATCCTGCATTAAAGACCAGGCTCAGGAGGTTTCTGCTGGGAAGAAGGACTGCACTGGCTGCTGGACTCCAGAGGATGTGTCTTATGGCCTGGCAGAAAGTTTGTCTGCATTTTGCTTGTGTCCAGAAACTGCCTGAGACTGAGATTAAGGGCAATGGACTAATTAATCTTGTAGAAGAAATTTCAAGGCAGTCTAATGTTGGGCCAGTGGCATGGATGCTATTGGAGGCTTTTAGTCAGATCTATGTTGAGAAGCAAAAGCAAAGAGCCCAGCAGAATGATTTACAACATTTTGAGTTTGGCCAGAAAGGCAGATCCAGGAAAGCCTTGAACTGCAAAGATAGAGCAGAGCAGATCTTGATTGCTGAGAAGGAACAGGAGACTAGAAAGATGGCCTGAGGGCATCACAAGAAGGAGCAGGACTCCACCTTTTGAAGCCTAAAAATTGCAAAAGTGAAAGACTTTGTTTTGAGAACCCCAGAGAAGGCGTAGGAAAGTTGGTCCTTGGCGTTTGGTTCATAGGCACTGGACCCCTACAGCCAAGAGAGAAGGAAGCCTGGCTCCTGCTCCAACTGGTGGCAGACGTTGGCATCATCCTCGTGGCGCTGGTTTTAGGTGCATGCAGAATGCAAGAGGTGTGGGGTCAGGAAGGCTTCCAGATCTCAGAAGAACGCCTGGGAGGCCGGGCAGTGTGCCCCTGAGAGGGCCATGTGTGCAGCCGTGAGTGTGAAGCTGAGGTGCAGTGGAGACCCCAGAAGTGTGGAGAAGCCAGGA